CCCAACAGTTATTAGTATCGTGACCAGGACTTTTGGAATGATATGCGCAACGGGAATTGGGGTGATAATGAGGGGACGCTGTGTTGGGGTTTTTTGGAACTTCTTTCAAAGTTGCCAAATTGGATTTCAGAAGATGCGGTAATACTTGAGACAAAGTCATATTTATTCTGGTGAATTTCCTGACTAGCCTTTCCACCCTTGGTTGATTACTTCTTTGTTAATCAGACGTAGGCTTTGGAATCATAACAGCCCCTACCATTGGTCAGTGTTCGACTCTCTCTTGGTTCCTTTGCGGATATACAGCAGCTACTTCTTTCTTCCCGATAAAAGGCTTTCTCACAGCTGTAGAAGAAGATGAATCCTTCTGAATCTTTCCACTTTTTATGCCAGCTTCCACCCTCTCTCCGGTTAATATTAGTTCAGTAAATCCTGCAGATGAGCTTCCAATTAAATGGTTGAAGAAAGGGCCCGATAAAGTGCCTAAGAACATGTCCACCAATTCCCTTTCAAACAGAGGGGGTTGAACTCTTCCATCCAGATCTCTCCATTTCTGCACGTAATCCTTGAAACCCTCATTGGAAGCCATAGCCATACTCTGAAGTTGAGTATGGGTAGGCACCAAATCAGCATTATATTGATATTGCTTGTAAAAAGCTGCGGCAAGATCTTCCCAATTATGGACGTTGGCTCTCTCTAGTTGGTAAAACCAGTCGAGTTGTGTTCCAGACAGACTATCTTGGAAAAAATGCACCCACAAGTCTTTATCAGCGGAGTGTGGTTGGATCTTTCTCACGTATGATCGGAGATGCATCTTACGGCATGACACTCCATCGTATTTTTCAAACAAGGGAACTTTGAATTTCTGAGGAATCACAATCCCTGATACTAGTCCCAAATCCTCAAAATCTAAGCCTGGCACTTTTTGTATTTCCATCGCGCTCAAACGCTCTTCGAGATGTCTGTACTTATCATCAGCTGGAGGATACTGCTCCTCAGAGTAGTCTTCCTCTTCTTCCTCCTCTTTAAATTCTGACGGGACCACTGTTTCCTTTCCTTTCCCCTCTCCTTCATCGGACGTTGTTGCAAAATTCAAGGTTCTTCTAGTCTTCCCATGAAATCTTCTCCCCATGTTTAGGACCCTGGTGACCTTTGTTTTCTTTTTCCTCTCTTCAGCCAGTAGAGTCTTCAACTCTTCTTGCCCTTTGGCTAGGGTCATGAGAAACCATTGAAACTGTTTTTTCTGAGCTTGGAGATCTTTGACTGTTTGTTCGAGATCCATCTTATTGAAATAAACAATAGAGAGATGAGGAAACTTGTTGCAAAAGACCTGTTTATGTTATGATGAATGATATGTGCATATGCAATTTTTTCAAGGATTTCAAAGATTCAAGTTCGTTTTTAGACAAAAAGAAAACACACGTTATATTAATAAGATAAAGTTTGAGTACATCAATGCCCCTTGGACAAAATAATACAAAACTCTAAGATAAAAAAGTAGTGCGAATACTTTTTGGTGTTATGTAGGCATTTAGAGTCTGCTCCTCATGAAGTAGCCTAGTGAGTCCCAAAACCTTCTTCTCGCTTGCATAGAATTGGGCTTCGAAAGTATCTCGCTCTCCTTTGAGTTGTATCCAATCCCTTTGTAGGTCTTCAAGAGATGTGGGCATGTCAGGATGTAGGATAGTGTATGGAATTTCTCCCTCCTTAACAGGCTCAATGATCACGGGAAGGATGGAAGGATAAGGCATCATAAGACTTTGAGCACGGGTTCATACCCATTTGAGGTAAGGCTCAAGGGGGATGGAATTCTTGTGCCCCAAAGTCTTGCTATCCACCTTATTTAGCATCCTTCAAGCTCGGATGAATCTCTGGAGAAGACCTTTATCGTCGTTGTCATAGTCGAATACCAAACCTTGAATCAGCATCTCGTGCGGGCCATCCCTTCGGGCGTAACCAAACTGTCTTAGAGCTAAACATGGGTTATAGGTGATGCCTCCCCTAATGCAAAGTAGAGGGACATTAGGGAATTCCCCACAAAGGTCAACAATGATAGCATTCTCTTTGGATCGGGAGCACCAATGAATATCTGAATGTTTGAGCGTCATTAACCTTTGTGACCACCTTGAACCTTGCTTATTCTTTAAGACTGATTGGGGAAGATGAGAAATAAACCATCTTTCTAGGAGAGGAGTGCAACACATAAGGACACCTCTTTTCCTCATTGTGCGAGTGTGAAAAGAGTGTAGGATATCCCCTAGCAATGTAGGCACCAGGTTGCATGATATGAAGATTTTGACGGTGCTCACATCTATAAGTTGGTCAGGTTTGGGAAATAAGACCGTACCATAGATAAGAAGAGCCACAATTTCCTCAAAGGCTTTCAAGTCTAAGGAATTCCAACAACTTTGGGCTTTCTCAAACAAGAACTTTGCTAAGAAGCCTTTGACACCACTTCTAGTTTCCCAATGAGTTATGACATCAGATGAGTGCAAGTGCAGAGCTTGAGCAATCTCTTCTGGCTTTAGGTCTCTTTCTGTACCGTTTAAAGGTAGTTTATTGAGAATGGGAATCCTCAAAAGTTGGGATAATTCTTCCAAACTAGGCACAAGTTGATAGTCGGGAAATATGAAGCAATGGTGCAAAGGATCAAAGAACTGAAAGAGCACCTTCATCATATCCTCATCTGTGTTGGAGGTGACCAAGTTGAGTAGACGACCATGTATCTCGGTGAATGGAGAGTTCTCAGGGATCCTTGAAGCTAGCTCCTTGAGTTGTGGAGGAATTCTTACAAGGTTGACTTGGATAGTTTTCCTGCGAAGTGAATCCATATCCTACAAAACAAGAACAAAGATGAATCTCAAAGAAATCCTTGAAATGGTTAGTGGATGTATGTGATGTTCATGATGTCCATGATGTTATGTACAAGTATGCATATACAAGAAAAGTAATCAAGTTCTTAGTTTAGGCTTGCATGGAGTTTTATAGGTAAGTACCCTCTTGAAGTTTAGTTAGTTTAAACCTGTCCTAGTAATAGTAACCGGATTCTAAGGAGCTCAATATCACCAGATTGTTTCCTTGGTCAATTTTTCAGCTCAAACCTCTTTAATGGCGACCAGAATATCCCAAGAAACCAAACCTCAATGAGTGTAGTATCGAGTATCTACCAACTTCGGAGTGCACCAAAGCCGGTCATCTCACTACATCCTAAAGGCTAAGTTGGTCAAGTAAAGGGTTCTAGAAGTTCATTAGTGCTTCATGACATCACTCAGCGGCCCCGTATTCTCTTTGATTAACTCAAAGGCTACCGGTACCCACAAATATGTCACACTAACATAGCTATTGCTTAGACCATATCGGTATACCCTGCACAGTTTCCACAATGTATTGCTATTTACCTATAATGTATCTCCAATCCGGGTAGAGGATTTCAAACCCAAACAAATAACCATAATGTAAAGCATACAAGTGAAACAATGTAAGCAAATAAATGTGATCTAGCCCTAAGGTAACTCCACTTTTATAATATTCCCCAACAGAGTCGCCAGTTCTGTGATACAGTGGGAGAACTGACTTGAGGGTTTTGCGTTTTATCACAAATATTACGGTTAGCAAGAGTTGCCACCGACTTTTCTTTTATCCAAAAGGAAAGGTGAAAAAGCACAGGAAATACCTTTGATATTGTTTCTTGAGTTCGGGGGATAGATTATGAAAAGGGAAGGTATTAGCACCCTTTTCATCCATGGTTTTCCATGGGTTCTTAGTTACTTGCTAGATCACTTGCTTTTGTTTTAAAATTGTGCTTTGTGTGGTTTTGAAAGTATTTTGTGAAAGAGGCCATTGTTTAGGCAATCTTTGTAATTATTCTCGTTTGTAAGAATGTATACAAAGATGTTTGTCTTTTTGAAAATGTTTCCAATGTTTGGAAATGTGTGTGTGTTTGTTTTTGAAAATAGTAAGGATATTTGTTTGAAATGGAGCAAGTAACTAGAAGTAATCTACCTACTCAAATGTCTTTCTTGTTCATTTTCTTTTCCTTTGATATTGTTGTCTTACCATTGATTTGGTAAGCAACCCTATCTTTGGATGTAAACGGGACTGGCGTGGGTCATCGTATAACCATGATTAGCAATGTTGCAAAGTATCTTAGCATTTTTGAGGGACCAAGATTATTTTGTAAGGCAACTTGGAATAACGTCATCGAGGGACTATGATCTTATATTTGTTTGTTTTGCTAAGATACTTCGCATGCGTAATATGGCCATTTTTTGTATAAGGCAACCAAGTGGTAACCCTAAGGGTGCTTGTGTGCAAGTGTGTTATTTTCATGCTTGATTTTCACTACTAAAAAAAAGACATTTGAGAAAAGGTTTTTACATCGGGTATCAAAATATATGATGTAAAAAATACAACTAAAAACTTTTTACATCAGGTATTTATTTGCAATGATATAAAAAATATGAAAAAAAATATATTTCGCTACCTATTACATCGGGCAAACGCATCCACCGATGTAAAAAGTTTTCAGAAAAAAATACGGTGGCATTTTTGTAAATAAGAAACAAGGTAGTAGAAATATTAAAAAAAACATGCAATATATTACATCGGTTGACTAAAAACCGATGTAATATCTTCACAACAGATATTAATATAAAAAATAAATTAAAGAATAAAATAATTTTTTCGCAACTTATTACATCGGTTGAAGTATAAACCGATGTAAAAAAGCCAGAAAATCAGCTTGCATCGGTTATTACAATGGACCGATGTAAAAAAGCCAAAACCCTTACATCGGTTGTAAGGTTCCACCGATGTAATAGGTTGTCCACTAAACCAACCCTTACATCGGTTATCCTATTCCACCGAGGTAATAGCTTGTTAAACCCTTATTTCACAAATTTCAGTATTTCCACTGTATAATATTCTCCTTGGCTGCCGTTTCCACTCTACGCTCACGCTCACGACCCAACCACCGCCGTTTCACTCCTTGCCACTGTACGCTCATGCTCACGATCCAACCACCGCCGTTTCCCAGCCACCATCATCGACCGCCGTTTTCGAAGGTTTTCGACCGCCGTTTCCGTTCGTTTTTCCGCCGTTTCAAACCAAACCTCAGCCGCCGCTCACCATCACCATCGCGCCAAACCTCAGCAGCCGGTCCCTCTCGCGCGACCTCCCTTCCTCTCTTCTCACACCGCCTTCACAAAACTTGTCAGATTGTTATCTTCTGGAACTACAATTATCCCTCGAGCAGCACCACCTGTTACTCATCTGCAGGTATTCAGTACTTCATTTCTATAATGCTTCCGGACTGTGCTCATTCATCGGTTCAATTTTTTCTGTGGACAACAGGATGCTAATCAAGGTGTGACTGATACCGTTCCGACTCCGATAGTTATAATTGACCAAGACTCTGATGCAAATGCAACTGTGGTGAAGATAACTTTTGGTCATCGGCTTGGAGCTCTCCTTGACACGGTGTGATGTTTTCTTATTATATTTCTCTGCCTGCTTATCTGCTAGTGTACATTATGAACAAAAAACTTTACTCTCAACATTGGTTTGCAGATGAGTGCATTAAAAAGCTTAGGTCTCAATGTTGTTAAGGCAAATGTCTTTTTGGATTCTTCTGGCAAACACAACAAGTTTTTCATCACAAAAGCGTAAGTCTTACGTGTTTTTCGCACTATGTATGCTATTGTTACGAGTATATGTTAGTTGTTCAATCCACTTATTGATTTTGGTTTATTAATTGACTATTAATAATGATTATTTTTCTTTTTATGATTAACAATTGTGAATGGAGACATGAGATTGAGAACATAATTAAGGATGTAACACTTAATTATAAATAAAACATATGATATCAAATCATTAGTAAAATTGGAACAAGAAAGCAACGGTAATTAATTGATGATTAAACTATAACACGAGAATGGTTAGGTTTAATGTGTTGGAATGTTCATGTCATGATAGGTCATCTCGTTTAGCATTGTTCAAACTTCAAACCGAGTGACTCTTTAGTTTAGGCCATCATTTGGTTCCGACAGAAACTCCCATAAACATTTTCTTTCTTTAATTCACTCCACCACTGGCCCACACTTGCCTTTCCTTGTGCTTTTGCTCCTAATAGCCCATCCTTACAATATACAACTAAAGCAATCAATTCATGAAAAATTAGTTACTTTCTATGCTAATTTGCCTCTGTTTGGATAAACATCTTAGTAAAGCACATATAGCATAAGCACTGGTCATATAATATAAGTGCCTGTGCATAAGCTATTTCGATACCAACAAATAAAATAAAGTCAGTGTTTTTATATAAGCTATACATTGTTTTTAGAAGTTTTCAAAACATAAAATATCTCATAAGCTGTTTCCATAAACCCTCCTAAACAGTCTCTCAAGTGCTTATGCTTGTAGGCAAGTCAAGTAAGTAAATCCAAACAGGCATTTTCTTTATGAACAAAATTCATGTTAAAACACACACAAGTATATGCAGTCAGACTTCAGATTAGCCTGCCTAAACAGTATTAGAAATTCACTCTAGAACAGTAAAACTTGTTGGGAACTTGGGTTTAGTTTTTTTTCGTTTTAAGCAACAAATATCTTGGATGAGGTTTTAACTAGCTTCTTTAGTAATTCTTTTGATATGTTGGTGGAGCTTTTTGCAGTGATACTGGCAGAAAAGTCGAAGATCCAGAGTTGTTAGAAGCAATTCGTTTGACAAATAATCTGATTCAGTATCACCCGATATGCTTTGCCAAATATCCTCCTTTCTCACTGGAGGGTGATTTGTTTATATGCCAACAAGCAATTCTCACTTCTCTGCTAATTAGCATTTTCAAAATGGTTGTCCAGGAATCAAGTTCTCAGTTAGCAATGGGAGCGGCTTTTGGACTTCTACCTCCGAAAGAGCAGGTGATGAATGTCTATACTTTTCAGTTTCAGTTGTAACACATGAATTTTTCATTTTTTTCCGGTAACACAGGCCGGCTGTGTGAAGCTAAAAGATGAGGGCTCGTTAATTACATGTGTTTCCTGTTTCTATTTCCACTGATAAAATAAACATTAGAGAACACATTGTGGATGCTTTTTAAAATGAATTTTAAAAATATATTGGATTTTATTTTATTTTATATAAACAATATAAATTTTATGAGGTTCTTAATTTAATGGTTACAATGATTTTTATATTATGCAGTGTATTTGCATTGTTTAGTCTACACTTGTTTATGTACGGTTGCAATTTATATATGTGGAAAGCGACAAGAATAAATCATAATTTCATATTTGAATTCTCGCCGACCACGGCGCTAAAGCATAGAGATGCTTTTCTGATTTGTACTGTCTTCATGACTACTGTGATTGGAACGATGGTCTTGCACCTTCTTATAAGGGTTGTGGGGTTTTTTCCTGGCAATGTTGACGCCATTCCCGGAATTCTACTTCTGGTTAGTTTTTTGATGAAATTTGAGCTTTGTTGTTTGATGTTACATATTATAATATCAAACTTTTATCATTGAGCTAACACTTTATGAACTACCTGTATTTTTTTTTCCAGTTTTTCATAGCTATGCTCATTTGCCCATTAGACATTTTCTATCGTCTAACTCGATTCTGCTTCATCCGCGTTATTCGTAACATTATCTGTTCTCCTTTTTATAAGGTATATTTTCTTTATACTATATTTTTTCGAACAATTAGATAAATTGATAACGATATAACATACTTCATGTGTACAAAATGAAAGTTCTAATTGTTTGATTCGATTTACTATTCCTACAGGTTCTTCTGGTGGATTTTTTTATGGCTGATCAACTAACTAGTCAGGTAAAATATTTTATCCTTCAACGAATTTATCCTATTATTTTCCTTTGTTTATCGTTACACTTCTTAATAACATTTTTTGTATATCATCGTATACAGATACCATTGCTAAGACATTTGGAAACAACGAGTTGTCACATTTTATCCCGGGTTTTCAAAACGCACCACCCTGAAACCTGTAGTTCCGGAAGATTATACATGGAAATAACCTACATTATCTCATTTTTGCCATATTTTTGGCGTGCCCTTCAGGTATATTAATACGCCCTTAATGTTTAGTACTAATCTATATTTCTAAACTTTCTATTAACATTACTAAATTAAATTTTACTATTTGAATGTGAATACTAGTGTGTAAGAAGATGGTATGATGACAGTGATGTTGCGCATTTGGCGAACATGGGGAAGTATATCTCTGCAATGGTTGCAGCAGGAGCTAGAGTAACATATGGAAGACAAGATGACAATATAATGTTTTTTATTGTTATAATCACATCTGTGACAGCTACAATGTATCAACTGTATTGGGATTTTGTCAAAGATTAGGGATTTCTTAATCCTAACTCAAGAAATGCATGGCTAAGAGATGATTTAGTTTTTAAGAATAAAAGCATATACTACATGTCTATGGTAATTTCCATTTACCTCTTTTTAGTTTCAATGTTTAAATTATTTTTAGAATATACTTGTTTCTTTTAATTAAAACATTATGAGATATCAAAATGCAGGCATTAAATGTTGTGTTAAGAGTGACTTGGACAGAAACTGTTATGCATTTCAAAGTTGGGCATATTCAAACAAGGTTGTTGGATTTTATGTTAGCTTCATTGGATTTTATGTCTACCGAAGATTTTATATTGGTAATTTAAGTTTGGAAACTTATAAATAGTTGAATATTTTTGTATATTTTGTGAATAATATGTAATTGTAAGTTTTGAAAAAAGACTTATAAATAGTTGAATATTGTTGTATATTTTGTGAAGAATTTGTAATTGTAAGTTTGTTTGTTGTAATACAATACAAGTTTGCAATACAATTGTTCAATTTGTAAGTTTGTTGTGAAAAATATAAAAACATCGACCTAGATGTGATATATGTGATGTTGGAAAGCTATGAAATCTATATAGCGACATAAATATAGTCTGTGTGATATTGGAAAAATATGAAAAAATGGGTACAAATTATATTTGTACAGGGAAACATCCAGAAAATAAATAATCTATTCCAAAAAATTTTCATACATTTTACATCGGTTATTAGTAAAAACTGATGTAAAAACTTTCAAAAAGGGACTTTTTACATCGGTTGGGGATAATAACCGATGTAAAAAGTTGCGTCACTGGGGACTTTTTACATCGGGTATTACTTCCAACCGATGTAAAAAACTAGATCAATTTTTTAAAAAAATGTGCATAATAACTGTTTCTTACATCGGTTCATATATTATAACCGATGTAAAAAAGGGACTTTTTACATCGGGTATTACTTACAACCGATGTAAAAAATTGGATCAATTTTTTTAAAAATGTGCATAATAACAGTTTATTACATCGGTTCTTATATTATAACCGATGTAAAAAAGAGACTTTTTACATCGGTCCCAGAACCGATGTAAAAAGTCCCTGATTTACTATATCGCCTGACTTTACATCGGACCCAGAACCGATGTAAAAAGTCAGTTTCACCCGATGTAAAAAGTCATTTCTGCACTAGTGTTTGTCTTAGATTATGGTTTTTTATTTGATTGTTTTTATCTTGCCATACAAACCCTAATTACTAGCATGTTATGTAAATGCGATAAATTGCGTAATTTAAAGATTGCTACGCTATTACAACATTTTATGGGAGGGGAGTATGCAAATTATGAATGGGGATTTGCAATAATGTAAACTTAATTTAATCTATTACAACCAAATCGAATTCGTACAAATATTTGAATAAATAATATACAATATAAATTAAATATGCAATGGTATGTATATGCAAGAAAAAAAGATTTTTGTTTTGTTTTTTATGTGAAAAAAAGGGTTTTAAACTAAACCTAACCATTTAAAAAAAAGAAATTATTTCTAGAAATTGGTTAACCCTAATTCTAATTTTGTTAAAAGAAAATAAAGTTCTTTAAGTATTATTTTTGTATTTTTTTTTGTCTTGAAAATAGTAAATAGTATTTATGAAATATTTAGTCTTTTTACATATTAAAATAAATATTTACAAGTGTGAGAAAAAATAATAAATATTTAAACTTATTCTATTTTTAATTACAAGTTTACTTAAGAAAAATAGTTAACATATAATTTAATAAAAAATATTTTTTATGAGAAAATAAAAATAAAAATAAACAAAATCTAATATTTATCATATTTTATATTTTTTATGATTTTTTATATTATGGAAAATATATTTAATAAAATAGAAATGAAAATAAAAATAAATAATAAAATGTATGGGCCAGGGGTGCTGCAAGCAAACAGGGGTAGGTGATTAGAAAAAAAAACAAGGTCCATAAGCTCAAAAGCCCACGCTGCCAAACAACCAAAAAAAGCTGGAAAAATATGAAAAAAATGCAAAAGGCATGCGCCAAGGCTCGAACCCATGACCTTAGTAATTTCTGCGCGCTGCCTTGCCACTGGGGTGGCTGTACATCTGTTAGTTCAAATGAAACTAAAAATACATAACACAAAGTTCTTCCTTCCCCTGTACTTCGTCTTCTTCCTCTAGCTAGCCAGACCAACCATATCTCTCTCATTTCTCCATGAAAATGGAAACTTCAAACATGAAAATGATAGTACTCTTTCCCACTATTTCAACCATGTAACTCATGTAAGCTAACAGTCAAAGATCAAAGCTAATTTCATTGGCCCTAATTTCAAACCTAATTTTTACAGAAATTTGAAATCTAAAATTCTCTATACACAATGAATATAAATGAAATCTATGAACATGGTTGGCTTTAGCACAAGGATATCTACATTTTATTTTCACAAATCGAGACCAAAGGATGCCTGTATGAAGAGATAGAAGTTAGAGTTCTTACCTCTTTCAGCTGATATCGTGAATGGAGTTTGAGTGAGTTTTGAGAAGGCCTGAGGATCTCTTTCGCTTACCTGGACCTCCTTGAGTGTGTTCCAATCTTTACATTGCCTTGAAAGTGCCTGAGTCTCCCTACCCAAGTGAACCTGCAAGCTTGAAATGCAAAATGGAAAATGGAGAAGGAGGAGTTACAGTGGAGGGATGATGGTCTGGAACACTTAGATATGATATAGGTTAAGTGTTTAGGTGATTAGAACTTGAAACACACGAGTAGATTTTGGGATTGCTATGCTTGATGCAAAAATGCAAGTTATGGCAGGTTTTTGGTGATAGAGAGTTTGGGAGAGTTTCTGAGCTTTTGCAATCGTGTTCTAGGATACAATATGTTTGTGTATAAGTATAGAAAAAGTTTCAAATAAATTCCACACCAGGCTTCTGAGTTATAGACTTTTTGCTCTATTGCTTGCCCTTTAAGAAAAGTGAGGAGACAACTCTCTACATGCTTGTACAAGCCTGATCTGAGTTGGTACAAGTCTTAGGCACTTTGCTTTGGTTTATAGGACTTGTGTGTGCAGAAGGAACATGTGAAAAGCTCAAGGAGTAGACAAATGCAAAAGTTGTGCTTTTCTAAAATAGAAATGGCAACTTTGTGCCATTTATAGAATTAAAGCTTGGACAAAGGCTCTCATGCTTGGATTAAAGCTTTATCAACTATGTAAGCATTAAATTATGGAGTGAGAAACAAGTTTGAGACATGTAAAGAAAGGATTATGCAGCCTAGGTTTGGATTTGAATTTTGGTTCATCATGAAATGGCTTGAAATCAAAGTGAGAAATTGCTAACTTCATCTCTTCGATTCTCCCTACTCAAAAATGATCTCAAGGAGTTCTTGGACATTTTGGAAAGCTTGAAATGTGCTCTATAACTCATATTTGAATTTATTTTCAAGATTCCTCTTGGAACTAGGTGAAAAGTTGCCATGAAGTTAGGTAAAAAACCTGCCTAAATTAGGGCAAAATTTCACTAAGTTATTTTAGTTCATGGGCGTGTATTCACAAAATTATATCTTGAGATCCAAGAATATTTAGGAAAAAATGTGTGAAGCAAAGTTGTAGATTTCATGGAGATCTACAACTTTCATGTTGGGAACTTCCTTTGAATCATCTTGTATCATGATGAGAATTTGGCTTAAAGTTGAGAACAAATAAGAAATTTTCTATACTTAGAAAAATTTCTAAGTTAAGAAAAATTTCAAATTTCAAAACAAAATCTTCAATATTTGATTTCTTGATGAACAAGTTTCACATTTTGACATATTTTGATGAATTGGTCCTTGACACTTGAATTTGACTAAAAAGTCAAAGTTTGAGTTTTCAGTATGCAGTTGACTGAAAAATTCATCTGTCAATCCAATGGATTTGCAATGTTTTTGAACCATGGCGTTAGGTAAAGATGATGAAATTGAACTCTTGAAATCATGCTTTAATTCAATTGATCATTTGTTAGGTAAAAAATCAGAAATTGCCCTTTCTCAGTCAAAACCCTAATTTTGACCATTTTGCCCTTTTGATGATTTGATCAAATTTCTTGAGGAATTATGGTCCAAACTTGATAAAATGATTCATATGAGTCTAAAATGTTGATGTGGATAAAAAATTATGAAGTTTGACTCTAAATCGGCCATGGTTGACTTTTTCCCAAATACAACTGATTTTTAGGTCAATTGTCCAATTGATTGATCAAAAAATGTGATTCAAGGCTTGAAACATGACATGAGTAATCTTAGGGGTCTATAATGATACCTAAAAGTCATATGAAGCATTGATAATCCAAAAATCTTTGTGCAATCACAAAACCCTAATTTTGGGTTATCGGTGCATGATGAGATGTCTTGAGCTGATCAAACCCTAATCCAGTCTTGAGTCAAAGAGATCTTGTGAGAAAAGTCATGATAAATGAGAGGGAAAATTTTGGGGTACAACAATGTGTGTAAGGGTATAGCTATCTTTGAAAGAAAATAAAATGTAAAAGAAAAAACAATGAGCACAAAAGTTTGTATGCGAAAACGTCCATGATTCATTGATGTCATATGAAAATGAGATAATAACCCTTACAAATGGACCATTGTGCCTCGGGTAAGACACAAGGTTTTAAGAGTGAGAATTGTTTTAATATTATAGATCCAACAAAATGTAGAGACAAATTACTGTGGGATAAAAGTGATTGGGACAAAATCTCTAGCCTCCCAATTGCTGAGCCTTCCACTGACAGTCGGGAATATCCAGTCTTCCAAGTCACAACTATCTTCATCATCTTCTACAGCGTTGACCTCGCGGTTGCTGATCTTTAGGGGTGGTCCTCCAGCACGAGCGTGGCGTACAGCCTTCTGAGCATTTGAAGTGAAACCCAAGCCAAACTTGTCAGAGTTATATGGGATATCTGAGAGTTGTCCCCAGATAGTGCACCCACCTTCTTCTACCACTGCTTTGGCATCCTTCAGAGATGATATTCAAAGCGGAGGTCTTGTGATCTTGGGAACAACCTTGGTTACTTCCACATCTTGCGGGATCTCTTCAAAGTGTTGAGATGGAGTTAATAAATTCACCATCTAATTTCACATATCTGAAGGAATTGAGATGGCTGATCATATACTTTTATTCTCCATGAACGGTGATAATCTTCCCTTGAATAGGATATTTTATCATTTGGTGCAACGTAGAAGTGGAAGCGCCAACATTGTAAATCCATGGTCGCCTAGCAAGCAGGAATATTAGGGACGGATATCCATTACATAAAAGGTTGAATCAAACGTTTGTATTCCAACTTTTATGGGAAT